CCGTCGTCCGTCGCGTCGTGCCGTCGCCCGTTGCGTCGTGGCGTCGCGTCGTGCCGTCGCCCGTCACAGGCACGACGGTTTTACTCACACGCACGACGGTCTGCTCACAAACACGACGGACCTGCTCACAGGCACGACGGTTTTACTCACACGCACGACGGTCTGCTCACAAACACGACGGACCTGCTCACAGGCACGACGGTTTTACTCACACGCACGACGGTCTGCTCACAAACACGACGGACCTGCTCACAGGCACGACGGTTTTACTCACACGCACGACGCTCTGCTCACAAACACGACGGACCTGCTCACAGGCACGACGGTTTTACTCACACGCACGACGCTCTGCTCACAAACTATGGTTTTCTATAGACGCCAAATCTGCGTCGCGTCGTGCTTTCACGTCGTGCCGTTGCGTCGTACCGTCGCGTCGTGCCGTCGTCCGTCGCGTCGTGCCGTCGCCCGTTGCGTCGTGGCGTCGCGTCGTGCCGTCGCCCGTCGCGTCATGCCGTCGCCTCTTAAATTACCCTTTCTAAGCACGTACACTGCATGAGGAAGCGACGCACTTTCACACGTCGCGTCGTGCCGTCGTACGTCGCGTCGTCCGTCGCGTCGTGCCGTCGCCCGTCGCGTCGTGCCGTCGCCTGTTACCTCGGCGCTTCTAAGTTGAGGCAACGCACACATTGCCCGTCGCGTCGTGCCGTCGCCCGTCGCGTCGTGCCGTCGCGTCGTACCATCGCCCGTCGCGTCGTGCCGTCGCCCGTCGCGTGACTGTATCTTTCTTGGCAAAAGGTGGCGCCTTCATTCTTCATGTACCTGTACTGTATTTATGACATGAATGCCGTGCGGTGAAACTGTTGCAAATTGCTATGTCGCATAGTTTGATGAATCCGTTATTGCCGTGTTATCTGCAAAATATCCTTCTACTGAATCGATTACTTGTATTTTTTATCAATAATGTTTTCTGAAAGTGACAGTGTTGTGTAGTAAGGTGTGTGGTGACCGATGCCAGTCATGCCAGTGTTAGTAATGTGTTGACATGATGTAGGCATATTGATTTATGAAACTTAACATGTCAAAGAAAGAGATGACCTCATTCAACATTACTTTCAGGCAGGATACACCTATGCTGAAATATGTGGTATTCTAGCAGTTCGTCATGGCATCACCTGCAGGTATTTTGTTCTGTAAAACGTCTTACTTCCCGTTTATTAAAACGAACAATATTCTTTTTTGACAACCATTATTGGTGATAAACAAAATTCCAATAATGTTAACCTTGTTGGCCTAGATTAAGCCTCATTAAGATTGTAAAAGTTTTGCATGAAAGCAAACAGCATGTTTGTATTAGTCCATAATGATTGGATGTCTTTTAACCAAATTTCAAAAGTTGCTGTTTTTGCAGCAACCATGTCCATGGTCACACATACCAATGTTTTGTTACATTGCATACAGCCCCCTGTGGTAACTGACCCACAGTACGTACTAGGGGATGGAACATAATTAGAGGGTGGGTGTGGCTAGGTGTAACTTACACAGTGTTTTCTATTTAAAACCCTATATCGGCACAATCAGCAGATTAAATGTCCAAGCTTTCATTGCCCAAATTTTGCGTGTCTGTGGAGAATAATTGTTTTTATCCTGTAGCAATAAAGTATGTTCAGTTTTTTTGGTATGTACAAATTGGTGCAATGTTGATCTGAGAGATCATTGTTATTTTTTTTTCTATATCTCTACGTAAATTACAAATTTATTTTACTGCAGCTCAAGAAACCTGCAAAGAATTCTTCACCGGTTAAATTTTCGCCGTAACGGTCCCAACGATGCTACTCTCGGGATGTTTCTAACCTGTTTAGAGGCAAGTGTGCTAACATTTATGTTTTTTTTTCTTTTTGAGCTTTTTCAATCCTTGGTATTGTTCAGGCATCTATATGTACTTTATGTACTTATTTTGTGTTTTATTTATTATTATTATTATTTTTTTTTGGTGATAAGAAAGCTAAAAGGACCTCTAACAAACCGGTTTAAGTGTATATTTCATGTTTGGATATAATAATAATAATAATAATTTATTAATTTATAGTGCGCAAATTCCATTTAAAATATGTTCAAATGCGCATTACAGTCATAAAAAATAAAAATAAACCGACGTATACGCAAAATTCCACAATACAATGAACACTGATACAGGGTACAAAAAATCAATAAAAAGCTCTCATAAAAAGATGAGTTTTAAGTAATTGTTTAAAAACATCCAGGCTACTTGCTTCTCGGATATTTAATGGCAGTGCATTCCATAACTTAGGTGCAGCACACTCAAATGCACGATCACCAAGGATGACCTTGGTTCGACTTGCTGAGTAACTGAGGAGTGTTTTGTCATTGGAAGATCTGAGATTGTAATTGGATGAAGATCGTTTTTGGATTATATGGCATAAATATAAGGGAGCTAGACCATAAAGAATTTCATAAGTTATTAACAGAATTTTAAACTCAATCCTGAATCTCACCGGAAGCCAATGTAAATCAAAAAACAGTGGGGTGATATGACAGTACTTGTAAGCGTTACAGACTAGTCTGGCGCAGAAATTTTGCACACGTTGAAGCTGTGATATTTGAACGTCAGGCAATCCATAGAGGAGGCTATTGCAATAATCCAACCGACTGGAAATAAAAGAGTGAATTAATGTTTCAGTACATTCCCTGGTCAGATACTTTCTGATACGTCTAATATTATGTAAATAATAAAAAGCCGTACCACACGTTTTTGTGATATGAGTAGACATTGTCAAGTTTGCATCGAACCAGGCACCCAGACTCTTCACAACGGAGACAGGGGAAAGTCTGGACTCCCCAACATTGATGCTGTCAATGTTAACCTTAGCCAATTGTTGGCGAGTACCCATGATAATAAATTCAGTTTTATCATCATTTAACATCAACCCATTACTGAGCATCCATTTACGCACAACATGTATACAACCCTCCATTGCAGAAAGAGCAGAAGCCTGGCTCGATGCATCATCTGGGCAAAAGGAAAGATAAAGTTGCGTATCGTCAGCATAACAATGCACATCTGGAAGTTGAGTCTCAATAATTTCGAACAAACTACTAGTATATAAAATAAACAACAAAGGACTTAAACAGGATCCTTGGGGTACACCCCACTCAAGGTCAAATTTCTGAGAAAGTTTACCATGAACAGAGACCCGTTGAGATCTGTCAGACAAATAAGATTTAAACCAGAGGAGAACAGTCCCATCAATACCAAACTTGGACTGGAGCCTGTTCAACAAAATCGTATGATCTAAAGTATCGAAAGCAGAACTTAAATCAAGTAAGACTAATAAAGAAACATGTTGTTTGTCCATAGCCATTAGTAAATCGTTTTTAGCTTTCAATAAAGCCGTCTCAGTACTATGGTGACTACGGTAGGCCGACTGAGTAATTGGATATAAACCGTTCAATGTTAAATGAGATTGTAGTTGGAATGCAACTGCCTTTTCCACCAACTTAGATATGAATTGAAGATTACTAACAGGCCTAAAATGTTCCATCTTTAAGTCTAGACTAGGCTTTTTAAGCAATGGTAAAACCACTGCTGATTTCCAGGCTGCTGGGAAATGACCAGTACATAAAGAGGAATTGATCATTCTGGTTATAACAGGCAATAACAGATCTAAAGAACTCATAAGTAACTTCATTGGAATAGGGTCAAGGATACAACACTTCTTACTAGAACCTAAAATGAGCTTACGAACACCATCTTCAGAAAGTTGCACAAAATCGGTCAATGTTCCCCCAGACCTAGGTGATGAGGGTGTGGAGGAAGATAACTGAGGTGAGCTGGTCTCATTACTCAATCTCAACCTGATATTGGAAATCTTTTGAACAAAGAAATTACCCATCTCATTCGCAAGAATCGAATCATCAGTGTGCGGTGGCACAAGAGAGCTTTTGTTAAGATTGAGCAGAGACCTGCTAACCTGAAACAATTTCCGTTGATCACTACTATTTTCATTAATCAAGTTGGAATAGTAATCCTGACGAGCATTGTTCATCAAGAAAATGACCTTATTTCTGTTCAACTTAAACAAATCAAAATCACGCTGAAGCCCAGTTGTTCTCCATCTCCTTTCAGCTTTTCTACGCATTTTCTTAGCAATTCTGATTTCCTCATTAAACCATGGTACACTGGGCTGAGCAATAATCGTTTTTTTTTAACAACAGGAGCATGATGATCAACAATGTCACTAAGGATGGTATTATATGAAATGGCCAAATGGTCAAGATCATCAGATTTACCTTGGCTTGAGTCCTTATTACACAAATCAGATTCAGAGATTTCATTCTTAAACATATCCATATCTACAGAGCTAATCTTCCTATAAGATACCTCTTTTACAGATAAATCAGGTTTGTTTAAAATAAGTTTACACAAAATGGAATAATGATCTGAGAATATATAATCAACAACAGGCATACGTTCAATTATTGTCTCTGATTTACGGGTAATGATCAAATCCAATGTATGTCCTAGAACATGAGTTGATTGTTCAATATGCTGTGTAAGGTTCAATGATTCCAGTAGCTCAGAAAACCGTATTGCTTCATAGTTGTCAGCATCATCCACATGAATGTTAAAGTCCCCAGTAATTATCAGTGGTGCGCTAGTCAGCAGAACTGATTCCAGGTAATCGGAAAATTCCTGTAGAAATGTAGTCATTGTAACTGGATGGTTAGTTGAATAGGGTGGTCTGTAAATGACAACAACGCGTAGCTGCTGAGATCCAGATCCCACAAGCCATTCCGAAAATTCAAAGGACGTCTGTTCTGCGGCGGCAATCTTTTTAACCTCCAACGAGTCCCGTAGAAGGAGAGCAGTACCACCACCCCTCCTTCTCTCACGTGTGTGATCTACGAGCTTGATATCCTCCAAGCTGTTTTTTTTTTAAAATAATTTCATGTTTTTTTTTAATCCAAAGTTATTTTTTCTTGGATGCAGCTTGAACTTGCTGGTAGTGGCAGTAATCTAGGGTGTCGGCCAATGTGTAGAAGAATGTTGACACGCTATGGACTTAACCTTCCCAGGTATTGAAAGAATGAATGAATGAATGAATTTTGTGTAGCATGGACATTAATGCTGTGTAGACATACTGGCTTTTTGTAGCGAGCCATCACTAAAACCCAAATACGGGCTCTGCAACTCACTGAATCAATATTTCAGTGTATTATTTTGGATTGCCTAATGACTGTTGTCCAATCTGTGGGGTTTTACTTCAAATTTCTGCCGTTAGTTTGAGGTTTAGTCCCCAAATTCTTTCTTTGATACATGGGTGTATATGTAATTCATTTACAGACGTGGTCCTTGAGGGACAGAGATTACTTGATCCGGATGGCTAGAATAGTCGAAGAAGACAACGACTTGTGCGACGTCTGTACAACAATCCCGGTCCAAATTACGCATTCCACATTGACCAGTATGATAACCTGCGACAGTATGGATTCTGCATTCATGGCGCCATTGACGGGTAGGATTATTAAAACATTTCATCATAATTGCTGAATTTGATTGCACTGTTTACAAAAGTCATTCCTAATTTGTACTGACTCTTCCTGAAAATTGTTGGGGTACAACTTGAACACAATTCAGCTCTCCTGAATTTTTAAAAAAAAAATTACTTTTGAATCTTCGTACATGATCCTAACTGTATATAGTGACGTTCTTTTGTCGATTTCTTGATGTTTGTTTTTTTCGGGAACAAGCTTTTATTTAATTTCAAAAACTTTTCCATTAGGTGATGGTAACAAACGACAGAGACTGTTTTACAAGAATGAAACGTTTGTCAGAAAATATTCAAAACCAGAAATTAATGCTTGAAGTTTTAATGACACAAAAGCACCATGCAAGATGAAATTACATAAAAACCTGGAATCACATATAGGTTGTCTTTCAGCTTTTACAACAATTTTATGAGCATAAACCTGAAATAAATCATGGTAAATTGTTCCATATCTGTGGTCGAGACTCCAGAATTTTTAATGTTGTTGTACGTGTGTGAGTGAGTTTCCCAATTTTTTTCCAGCTTTTCTCGACGGTTATTGTGGCTAAGGGTAGCAAACACTAATCGAGACCCAGCAGTTGTGGCATCATATTTCATGGATTTTCTCGAAGAAATTCAAGGTAAAAATTGTCGCTACTAGTCACATTTGAATTTGCTCCATTGGTCAAGGCAAAATGTCACACTGAATGACGCCCTCCCTTTACAAATACTTTCTTGGCCTTTTTGCAGGCACCCCACGTTGCATTCAAATGGACAGGGGAACAGAAAATGTGATGACTGAAAATATCCAAATCGCCTTGCATGACATTTACTCAGAACAGCAGCATAGTCCTTGTATCATACATTCAGCTTCTCCCCACAACCAGGTAAGGTTGTTATGTTGCAAATTTTTACAACGATACTTCTTCCTATTTTCTTTTGTAATTCTCACTTCGATAGAATTTTCTGAACTGAAATAGATTTTGTGAGTAAAGCACTAATCAGTAAGTGGCCACTTTTTATTTTTTATTTTTAAGTAACACCTTGTTTCCTTGTGTATTTAATTTAAGTTTCCTCATCAGTGGTAACCATAACCTTAACTTTAGTAGGCCCTACATATGTAATAGAGTGTTACTTTTCTTACGACAGAGAATAGAACGTTTCTTGCGAACCCTGTTTGAAATGATGGTTGGATTTTGGGTCGATAATTTTAAGGACATGGTACAGACTGGTACTTTGGATTGCACGTCCGTGCTACACCGGTAAGAATTTGTGTTGATGAGACACACTTATTCATTAGTTGTTCAATATAACAAATGTACTAACAAATTTATGAATGCCATAAACATCAATGACTGCCTTCTGTTAAATGATCTGAATCATCATACATACATGTTTGATATTGTGTATGAATAAATTGTCTATATGTTAAGCTTATTACATAGATCCTACTCTGCTATTACTTGTCAGTCGGATTTAGTGATGGGGTACTTTCATTGACACTTTTATTTTTCATTTATGTGTAATCCATTCATTGTCCTTTAAGAATGGAAGCAGTATTTCCATTAGTGACATCAAGTCCGAAAAAAATTAACAAGGCAGATGCACTCTTTCTTTGCACTTGTCTTTCTCCCTTTTTGGAACATTTTTAGGGAATGCATTAGATTTTGCTTCATGAGATTGCTGCAGTCCGAACTTGATGAAATCAGAGTGGAGTATAATCAACACAAAACACGGTTCATTTCCAATGCAGTTGCTCTTCCACTGGAAGCCTGATCTCATGTATTATGTGCCGTATTTGTTTGGTATGCAAGAACCTTTATGTTTTATATTTAAAAGCTTCATAAGCCCATATCCAAGCTTGACTCGGGTGGGACTCGAACCCACGACCTCCTGCTTTCTAGTGCAGACGTCTTAACCACTTGACCACCGAACTTGCCGGGGTGGGCTGGCTGGTTTGAGTATCAGCGGGTACCGCGAACAATTATTTCCAAAGATGTGTTTGCGTCGGGGAAATGTTGAATTTTAGGTTTTTGCCCTTTCCGACGTATATTATAAACACTGAAACTCGAACCATCCAGCCAACCCCGGCAAGTTCGGTGGTCGAGTGGTTAAGACGTCTGCACTAGAAAGCAGGAGGTCATGGGTTTGAGTCCCATCCGAGTCAAGCTTGTTCTTTTTTTCACGAGCTTTCGGGTGAACACACGGAGCTTTCAGTGTTTATTATATACGTCGGGAAGGGCAAAAACCTAAAATTTAACATTTCCCCGACGCAAACACATCTTTGGAAATATAAGCCCATATCCAATTAGCTGGCATAACTCTGTCAAAATGTAAGTAAAGCAGATTGAAGGTCCTACCCATTGATGATCACTTTCATCTGAATCCTTTGTGGCATTGTTTCCAAGATATTCTACACATTTTATACTTAAAGCTTATATTAGGTATTAACTACTTTTTCCAATCTTGTATATTTTTTTACAGGCGCATACGACTTCCAGATCTATGTTCCATCTGAAGAAATTGTCACTATAAAACATGCATTCACTGTAACACCTCGACCAAGTGGATGCTCCATTGAATTTGGAGAATCGTGCCAGGAGCTCCTGAGAATCCACAACAGAGTACTGCCATCTTCTCTCCAAGAGGGAGTTGACCTATTTCAGTGGTTGTTGGGGCAACTCCTGTGATTATATTGCCTGCCTCAGAATTTATTGGATTACAGCGGTGGCTCCTAGGTGTTACAGTTATTCTTGAAAGTTTGACCAGTAACAATATATAGGCCTTTTGCAGCTAGCTTGGGGTTACTTCAAGTTGACCACGCTGGCTAGCAAACATTCAAGTAGAGGTCAAGTTCCTTGATGCTCGACCTCTAATGGACTGTTAGAAGACATGTTTACTCTCCAGTCTGGTCACGTGACCCCACAGCTGCACAGGGCCCATTATACATGTGTGATGGGCAAAGTCTTCTCAATGCCAACCACATTGTAAATCTGTTAGTGCCAAGTTCTCTAAATTTTCCTATCTTTTTGTTCTGTGCCAACAGTGGAAAATCTTCCCGCACCTTACATTTATTCCCCACAACAAGACACTTTTTAAATAAATGCAACAAGCAATTTTGTGCCAATGCTTTTATTCAATAAATCATCATTATGTCCCAAACGTGTTCCTGAACGTGTGTTCTCATGACGGTTGTAAAAAATGTAAAAGTTAAAGTTACATCTTGGCAAAGTCATGAAACCGTTGATTTTTCATGCATCCTCTGTCATTTTTTATGTTATAGCCATTAATGTAGTCAATCTCCTGAATGCCCTGCAATGTTTGTAATTGAAATTATGAATACAGACTGGTTTTCAAAATTTTGCAATTACTTTTGCATGAGTAAGTAACTTGTAATTTTTCAGATCCCACCAAGTGTTGTTGATTTTGTTTTGCATCGTTCCAAAGCTGAATTTCCTCAAAGCATCCCCTGTATTGAACAGTTACCTTCTAATTTAAATTTGTGTGGCAAGAAAAGCATGTTTAAAAATGTCGTTTTTTGATTTACAAAATGGTCCTTCTAAACTACTTTTCAGAAAATGTATAAAAAGGATAACATATTCAGTCATGGAAACAAAAGAAATAAAGGCCAATAATATGAGATAAAACTTTTATCTGTGCACTTATCCAGTTATATGCTGTGTCAAGAATTCTTTACAAATACAATGTTTTCAAAAAAATTCATCAGCTCGCAGTGCCCCTCGTACCCCAATTTAATCATACATCCCATAAAAAGAAAAGAATGAGGAACGGCCCTGCTGATGCTGATAGCAAATCCCATCCTCCTCCCTTGTTTTAAACCCTTATTCACGGCGGCAACTTTCTTGGAATGACTTTGGAACTTTCCAACAAGTTATTAGTATCAACAGATTGTTCCCTGAATTTTGCTCGCACAAAACCGGTTCTTCCTTGCTATTTTCCTAGCCAGAAAACCACTTCTTTTTAAGAAAACACAAGTCTGATAAAAACTTTAATGCATGGTGGCGGCCAAACTCCATTTCATTTAACTTAAAATGTAGTGGCGACATGTATGATTACGCCCCTTCCTATTAAACAAAAGTACATGAAGAATGAAGGCGCCACCTATTGCCAAGAAAGATACAGTCACGCGACGGGCGACGGCACGACGCGACGTACGACGGCACGACGCGACGTGTGAAGGTGCGTCGCTTCCTCATGCAGTGTACGTGCTTAGAAACGGTAATTTAAGAGGCGACAGCACGACGCGACGGGCGGCGGCACGACGCGACGCCACGACGCAACGGGCGACGGCACGACGCGACGGACGACGGCACGACGCGACGGTACGACGCGACGGCACGACGCGAGAGCACGACGCGACGCAGATTTGGCGTCTATAGAACACCATAACAAACACGACGGACCTGCTCACAGGCACGACGGTTTTACTCACACGCACGACGGTCTGCTCACAAACACGACGGACCTGCTCACAGGCACGACGGAGCTCCCCACACGCACGACGCTCTGCTCACGAACACGACGGACCTGCTCACAGGCACAACGGAGCTCCCCACACGCACGACGATAACAGATAGATGTCCTTTATAGTACACCATACATTGCAAAATTAGACCGAGAACATCCGTTTTTGCTCTGTCAAATCTGGCAAGTGGTCGTAAAATGTCTGGCATTACACTGTATTAATTCCAACCTCTTGGGTGAGATATTTGTGTTTCAAATTGTCTTCTTTATTGCTGAAAAGCGTGACTGAAATCACCAAGTTTGAAGGCTGCAGTAGATTGTACATGTGAATCCTTTGTACTTAATCTAAATACTAATTTGATTTTTGGTGGTTTCAGTTTTAATTTCAACTAACAAGGACAATTATGATGTTGAATAGAAGTAGCAGGATGCTTTTCTTTTGTTTTCTTCTTTTCGTCTTCAAGTTTCGCAACTTGTTTTTTCAGGATATCGTCTCCAAATGGCAAGAAGTACTGAAACTAGTTCCAGAGAGAGACCAGGCCCTGCAGTCTGAACTTCTGAAACAGGAATGTATCCTTTAAAGACACATTGACTGAATAGCATAGTGGTAGGAGACCACTCTGACCCACTGACCTTTGGATGGAGCATCTTGGATAACCTTGCATTTTGGAGATGTTGACACAGATGTATATCTTTGGGAAGGTATTTCTGTAGTCAGTTTTTGCATTTTTGAGTTGGAATTTGATGACCTATAGGCAACCCTTTTGAAGGGAGTCTTCGGATTTGATTAAAACAAATAACCAATGTGATGATGACGTCAAACGGTGATAATTGTCATAGTCTTATTTTGCATGAGAGTGAGAACCGCCAATTTTAAAACAACGTTCCCGCATTGCACTTCTTTTCCTGAGCACTTGTTAAAACAGCCAACGAACGTCTACGCTACCAGTTTGCCAAGAAGGCCAACGTGGTCGGGCCATGGATCGAAGGGCAGACCGTGAAAGTGAACAATCTGCACATGGAGCGCGGCGCACTGGAAGAACATCTTGCAAGTCTCCAGAGGATCGAGAGGGATGTAAGTCGTTCACAAAATATTTAGACTAGTTTTTTTTTAATGAAACATGAAATATGTACGACATACTTGCACTTGATTAGTCTATGAATGTACGCACGCCCTGGAAACATCTGTCATTTGTGCAGATTTAGTGATTGATTCCGTAATACAACTGCCTCATGACCTGCAGACTAGGACTGTTCAATGAGCTTCTATTATCTTGCCTTCTGTAAACTGAAGATGTAAGTGATGTAAACATGACATACCATCCTTGACATTAACAGGCTCAAGCAGCTGATCACTAATACTTATTCTGCATTAAACCAGTGGTCTACGATGGCGTCCTAGTTTCAAAACGTTGGCTCCAATTTGCTGGCGCGCTGGTCACATAAAATGTGCATGCAAGGATGTATCAGACGTTTGTATCAGAGCTCAAACAGATCATAGTCAGTCTGGCGTTCAATGTCAACTTGAATTGACGAAATAGAAAAAATGCATATATTTTAACTTCTGGTATTAAAAGAACACCACCTCGAGTTAAAGTTAAGATTTTTTAATACGCACTACCTTCCAAAACATTGACATTACATCCTAGAACAATATCTGTTGCTTGCATAATTAACACAGTATAAGTACATGTACATTCATGACATATTATCAGATGCACACTGGTCAGTGTCACACCATGAGTCTGTTTTTCTCAAGGAGGACAACAGTGGATGTACTTGACAAAACAGCAGCACAGAAAAGAAAACGCAGGACGGCAGAATTTGTATGATCAAAATAATAATTAATATTTGATTTATTCTAAGCCAACAGTTACCCCAATAAGTTAATAACTACCTACTTAATGAAAAAAAATATTTACAAAAACAAAATTATACTTAATCTTGAGATCACGAGACTGATCTTTTAAACCTCCAAATACCGGTAAGGTGACTGCTTTTGAAGTAGTATGTCCTGTACCTCAGAAGTACCACACCAGGTGTTCAAAAGGTACGTGTCAATGCATTGACTACTTAGCTGTGGTCGCGTGTAATTGTCCACAGAAGATCAGTTCCAACAGTTGGTCTGTTCTTGGGTCCGTGTCTCACCAATCCCACATGTACTTGGAAGTCGATGGGATCAGGTCAGCCCGGCTGCTACAGGGTCAGATCACCTTGTCAGCAGGTAGGTAGGTAAGCATCTACTGCACCGACAGTCCACACAGGAATCGGTTAGTCGACTCTAGCCGACTCGCCCCACAAAGGAATCGATTCGTCAATCCTGAGTCCAATCCACACAGGATTCTTGAACTCAGTTGTCCACTAAGGACCTCTGACCTTGA